TCTTAAGTGTGGAATTGGTTTAATAATAAGTTGCGAGTGATGGCGTGAATGTAGTGTGTTTGTCGAATCGTCTCGAGATTTGGAAAATGAGCGGATCATACAGGGGAAGAGGGAGTAAAACAGTAGAACCGCGTTGTTATTGGTATCCGAGAGTGCGTGAGAATTTATTGCGAGATATATTTAGAGAGCGTTGATCAAATTATCATTATTTCTTTTTACGTGTGTTTACAGTTACTGTTATAAAATATATTGCTACTGAACTTATTATCAAGTGTTATACAACCACATTAAGTGCTTATGCATATTACATAGTTAATTTAGATATAATATTATTCTAAAGTTTTAGGTTGCGTTGCCTGTCCGGAGACATTTGGCGCATGTCCTGCGTTTTCCTTACACTTTTCAGTGCTTGTTGTGTAAATATACGCCCCGATATCTTAACCTACGATTTTTTTACGACTATACGTCTAAGTGTCAGTCATTTACTGTTTTAGTACCGTGTCAGGTAAGAAAAGTTTATCAGTGTTATAAATTCAAAGGAAAGTTAGGATTACGATGAATTTTTTTTATTAATATCTTAGTCACATCTTGACTGGAATCTCTGTCACGAAAGTGACTCGTTGTTACAGGGGTTAAATATGCTGTGTGAAATATCACCGTTCATTCGAATTAAATGCTTTTGCCAGTCTTGGCACCATAAGTGTTAACTATAAGTAGAACAACTTCATTCGAAGCGTTCTTTCCTTTTTCTTCTCAATTGCACCACAATTTCCGATACACCTTGTATGCAGCACTCTCTTTCTCGCGAAAGCAACGAGTCTGCACATTTCATTTCTCCTTCAACTTCCCCACCACACGCTCCCTCTTAGACCGACCACTTTAATTGAATCGATCTGCATGCAGGTACATTCGCGAACTCCTCTCTCGACCGAGGACGATCGAGATAAGGTGAATTTGTGCCAGGAGCCGGATGATAAATAATTTCGCCGTACCGCCAAACCTGAATAAAACAGAAGAAGAAGAAGAAGAAGAGGCATTTTCGAGGCGGGCAAAAGTGA